TTGAGTATTTCAAGGTTTTGTTTGCCCTTATATGCTGTTGTAGTTACACTTTACTATTACCGTTGCGAGTACGTAGAAATTGGTCATTTTCAGCGAAAGTTGTAGCTCTATTTTTTTTTAAATTTTGACCTAAATTCCAAGGCTATAGGTTTAGGATCATTAAAAAGGTTTAAAAATATGTAACGTTTGGAACAAAAGCGAGTACATGATTGTTAACGGAATTACGACTTGCGCATGGCAACCCTGCCCAAAGTACCGCCAGTCGGGGTGACAGAAAATGATGCCGAACATTCAACACGTTTTAAAGATGATACAAAGGACAATCCCGAATTTATTGCAACTCACATAAACAGCTGTAACTTTTTAACCACAGTAACAAATGACTTGACATTTTCAGAGAAGATTCTTAGACAAATTCTTATTAAGACAACAACAGACCAAGGTGCAATGGCAAACTAATACCCACTTTTCAATTAGGGAATCCAAGAGCTGCCTTTAAATTTTATACAGTTGCAAAAAAATTCCTTGAGGATCTTTTCGAAATGTTTAGAACTCTATGAGCTCTATTGAAATTCTTCTCAGAAGTCCTCTGGAATTATTTTTAGAATGCTTCTTGAATTTTACTCAGAACACCTTGGAACTGAAATTCCCTTAGAGTGTCAGAAGAATTCCCTAAGTATTATCCAGAAATTAGTCCCGGAATGAGCTAGAAATTATCGATACTCACTAGAAATTTTCCTCAAAATCCCTTTGGAATTTCACTCAAAATTTGGTATTCTTTTCAAAATTATCTTGGAACTATCTGCAGGATTCACTAGAAATTAATTATCAAAATTTTCTTGGAATACTCCCCACAAATATTTTAGAACTGTCCTAAGAATTCTATATCCTTGAGGTTCTTCTCGGAATAGTTTGAACTTGTTTTTTCTCAGAACACCTTGGTACTGAAATTTCCCTAAAGTTTCAGAAGAATTTCCTGTATTCTTCAAAAATTCTTCCCAGAATGAGCTTGAAATTTTCCTCAACATCCCTTTGGAATTTCACTCAAAATTTAATTTTCTCGGTATTCTTTTCGGAATTATCTTAGAACTATCTGCAGGATTCACTAGAAATTATTCGCAGAATATTCATGGAATCATCCCCAGAAATCTTTTCTTTTGGAACAGTCCTCAGAATTCAATACCTTTGAGGTTCTTCTCGGAAGTAAAGTTTAAATTGCCCGTCCATTCACCAAAACGTTGTATTTTTTTTTTCAACCAGAAATGTGCAATAAAGCTTGCCCCTACATTCACCAGAACTGAGCAATTTTTACATCAGGAATTTTCAATTCAGCTTGCCCCTCCATGCAGCAGATGGTTGCAAATCTTACACCAGAAATTTCCAATACAAACCTGCCCCCAGGTAATTTTAGACCAGAAAATTTAACCCTTTTGTGTAAATTTTCCACTGTTAATAAAAATTGCTTCTCCAATCTTCTGATTCGTGCAGATTTCCTTTTTCCATTTTCTATCAGACATTTTCAATATAGCTGGCTTCTCCCATCATCAGAATGTTGAAGGTTTTCCACCAAATAAAGCTTTGCCCCTATTTTCGGATTTTTCATCATAAATTTTCAGTAAAGCAGCTTCCCTCCAATCATCCGAATGGTGCAAATTTTACAACAGAAATAATTATCAAAATTTGTTTCTCTATTCAGCGGAGGGATGCAATTTAAAGACCAAAATTTGTCCAAAAAGCTTGCCCATCCGTTCACCAGAACGGTGCAGATTTTCCACCGGAAATTTTCAATAAAGCTTGTACCTTTATTTTCCATATCAGTGCAAGTTTTCCACCAGAAATTTTCTGTTCATTTCATTTATCAGAGCGATGCAAATTTTTCACCAAAATTTTTCAATAAATCATGGTCCTCCATTCACCAGAACGGTGCACCAAAAATTTTCAGTGAAGTTTGTATCATCATGCACCTTTGTGGTGTAATTTTCAGGCTTTGCCTCTTCATGCACCAGAATGGTGCAGGTTTTCCACCATAAATTTTCAATGAAGCTTGCATTCATCAGAATGATGCAAATTACGTACCAGAAAAATGAATAAACTTTGCTTCTACATTCACCACAGAAATTTTTAGTCAAATGTGCACCTCCAAATTTTTAGCGTGATTCAATTTTTTTCCACCAGAGTTATTCATTTTGATTAGTCCCTCCATGTACCACCACCTTGATGATATGTTTACACCAGAAATATTCAGTAAAAAGCTTTTGATTCGATTTACCACCACAAAGGTAATTTTTTTTCAACCTTAAATTTACCCTCTTCTTTTAACCCTCCAAAAAATTACACCAAGATTTTTTGTATGCACTACTGTGGTGCAATTTTTTGACCAAAAAATGTAATTTAAACTTGTCCCTTGACGCACCTTTGTGGTGCAATTTTCAGGCACCATCTCAAAGGAATTGACGCAATAAAAGGTTTTCAGTGCCCTTATATTATGAAATGAAGTTATTTTACCTTCAAGTCAAGTTATCAAGAAATCAAGTTATTTTTATTTTCTAATTTGAAAATAAAAAATCTTATTTATAAAAGAGGGGGCAATTGCCCCACCTTGCCCCACCCTGTGCACGCCAGTGAGTCGTAAGGGCTCGACATTGATCAATTGGCAGCGATTCTCGTAGCTTGGAAGACGAAGTGGGTATCTCCAAGGCAGCTTACGGAGGGCGAAGCGAAGAAAACGTCGTTGAACAGATTCAATTCGCTCGGCCCCATTATTGTAGTTCGGGTTCCAGACAGCAGAGCAGTATTCCAACGTAGATCGTACGAGAGAGCAATAGAGCGATTTCAAGCAGTAAATGTAATCTTGAAGTCAAAGCCAAGCGTTCTGGACGCTTTGTCGACGACATACGATATATGGTGTGAGTATGTTAGCTTTGAGTCTAGAAAAACGTCTAAGTCTTTCACTCAGTTCACCCGTTCGATAGTCGTGCCTAGTAGTTTGTAGTTGAAAATCATCGGTTGTTTCGTGCGTGAGGAAGTAATAATTGTACACTTTGCTGGGTTGACCACCAGTCGGTTTGACTACACCAGTCATCAAAGATATCAATCTGATTTTGGAGAGAACGGCAGTCGGCGAGTGAGCGAATGCGCAGAAAAACTTTCAGATCGTCTGCAAACGATAATCGTGGCTCTGTGATAACATGGTGAATGTCGTCGAAGTAGAGGAGAAATACCAATGGTCCCAGATGGCTACCCTGAGGTATACCGGACTTTGCGCAGAAGCTTGCTGAGCGACAAGTACCCAAAGTTACTGTCAATTGGCGCTCCGTGAGGTATGAACGAAACCATCTCAAAAGATTTTCACCGATCCCTAGCCTATCATGCTTAGCGATCGCAATTTCGTGGGTCAGCTTATCGAAGACTGCCGTAAGATCTGTGTAGATAACGTCCGTTTGGGTCCGAGCAATCAAACTATCTGTGATGTAAGACGTTAAGCACAGCAGGTTCGTAGTTGTGGAACGCCCAGTTATGAATCCGTGTTGATCTGTGCTTAGATATTGCTTGCAATGAGGGGGGCGACCCCGGCGTAGTGGTTAGCATCCATACCTCTCACGCCAAAGTCACGAGTTCAAATCTCACCCCCGGACAAGTCACGAATGACCCAAGACCGTTAAAGTGACTATAATAAAAAAAAAAAAAAGCTTGCAATGCGCATTTAGGGACTCTATGACAACCAATTCAAAAAGTTTTGATACAGCACTCAGCGACGTGATTGCCGGGTAGTTGTTTACGGCGCGTTTGCTTCCCTTTTTATGAACAGGAAACATATCCGCAGTCTTCCAGCAAGACGGAAAGATGCCGCTGGAAAGAGAGAGCTGGAATATGCGACGCAGTGGATCTAAAAGACAAGTGATGTTATTTTTAAGAATAATTGACGGAACACCATCGGGTCCAGCCTTAGTTGAAGTCTTAAGTTTAGATGCTGCTCTAGAAATCGTATCTGTAGTAGCTTTGACCATGCTGAGCGTTTGGTTGATCAAAGGAACATTACTGGCCGCGGAAGTAATGATATTAGCGGAGAGTTGCTCGTCTTCAAACACACTAGCAAATTTGGTTGAGAACAGGTTGCAAATGTCTTGTTGATTTCCATGCAATGTCCGGTAGGTTAAAATCGCCAAGAACAATAACTTCGTCGGAAGGGCCTGCTTTGTCTGAGGCGGCCAAGACGGATCGACAATGTGCGTCAATAAGCTCCAAGTCGCGGGTTCGATCTGGAGGAATGTACACTGCACATAGAAGCAATTGACGATCACCAAGTTGAATAGCCACCCATATTTGTTCAAATCTGTTCCAGGAATCGTCCTCGATAACTTCTGCTTTCAGCTTGGAATTAACTGCGATAAGGACGCCTCCCCCAGTAGTTTTCCTACTATTATTCGTGTTTCGATCGCAGCGAAATCTTTCGTAGCCAGCACCAAAGACATAATTTGAAATGGTTGTTTAAAATGTTGTAGGTAGCAGTGATCCATGACGGCCAGATGATAATCTTCCACGAGGCCGTTCTGATAGTAAATCGTTATGTTTGATCTCCGCTGTTCGGGAACAATGGAAGGTTCAGCGTGTAGTTGTATTTGGGAGCTGGTAGATGTCACTTGACGGAGGAAGGATGTTCGAGTAGGGCCGCTGGAAACCAAGATACTTTCAGGCGATAATATATTCGATGGTTGATCAGGACACAGGAATGTGGAAGACCCCTTCTCCCATCTCAAACGCAGGGCCGGGACGACTGCTGGTTGCTGGCAGGAGGAGCTCGACTGCGATGAGCGGAATAGGCGCTTCCTCAGGACGGACGGCAAGAATGCGTCCCGGAGTGCAGTTGACTGTGGTGGCTCCATGTTGCCGACTGGCAGATGTTTGAGGTGAGTTGATGACACTGGAATTATGATCATCATCAGGCAGTGAAAGTTCGCTAGTAAGTGTGTACTTGCCTAATATAGCAAGCTGGGAGACCCTCAATCCACATCTAAACTCAGGGCCAGGACGACTTGGATGAACTGGGGACTCTCAAAATGCTTTCTACGTTGCGTCCTGGTAGAGAAGTAATTTGGCTCAATAGATTTTCAGAGGGCATCACCGAAAATTCGCTTTGGACCGGGGTCAGAATAACCTGAGTATGGGAGAACTCATCACGCAACGATAAACTTAAATCACAGAGGTACTTGCCTATGCAAGCATGGTGAAAGACCCCCTTTCCACCACCAACTACAGGGCCGAGACGACTATGTTGAACGAAGGCGGCGGTAGGCGGGACTGTGTTGGGGCGATCGGGGGCTTCCATCAGACTTTCTACGGTGCGTCTCGGGGGCATTGTTGATTCGTCAGATGAGGGGATTAAGCGGTGACTGTTATACTGGGTGTACCTAAAGGGGCTGGCATATCGAGAGGTACTGGTGTCCCAAACGGTGTGCCCGTTGGAATAGTCTCTGGAACAGCAGGGAGCGCTGGGATATCAGGAGGTAGCCACACATTTTTTTTTCGCCTGAGTATCCTCGAATTCTCTGTATACAATCCCCTGTGGCCAAGTTTCAGGGTTCAAAACGTTCTCTTTTAGTTTCATTGGAATGCCGACCTTGTAGGAGATGAAGTTCATCGATAGTGGGTTGGTGCCTTTTTTCACTAAAGAGACGACTTTAACTCGTCGTTCGCAGTCCATCACGAACAAGTTTCTGTTGTATCCTTACATTCGTGATTTGAACCTTTTCAGCCTGCGACTCACATGAGCTATAGTCACAAGTTCACTTTTAGCATAGTATTTACCTGTGAAAGGGTTCAAGTACCCATAAACCACGGTTTACAGCAAAGCTTTTACTGACTTCCGGGACTAATTAGATCAGTTCATGGCGATCCAGACAGTATTCAAACCGGAAACCCCAAATTAATCCAAACAGTTCAAGAGCGAAAATGCGTACATGCCGCTACATGCACCGTTTAGACCTCATTACCGGGCTAAATTTACAATTAATCTCCCTCATCGCATTATTTTCCCGCAAAAATTGCCCGAAAATGACGCCAAACCGGTAATGAACGCGTTAATTCGGTTGTTTGTACATCTTAAGTGCTCCGTGTGATCGGTACAAACAAACTCATTCAGCAAACTCATACGTGTCGGTGCAAAAAAAAAAAAAAAATGAAAAAAGGAGAGATATGGACACTCCACAGAGGGTAATAATTGTTACAAAATAATTGCTGGAAAGTGCACATCATCATCATCAAGCTTGATTGTAACAATAATTTGCCAAATGAACAAAGTAAGGTACATTAGATCCCAATTTTCCCGAGAGTGAGTGAAGGTACATTACCACTTTTCTCGTCCCTCATCATTGTCTTATTAGGCGCAAACCCTTGTTAATCCCTTTTTCTCCGGAATCGATCGAACGCTGATGGTGTTTAATGAAGTGCCTCGACGCAACCGAGTTGAAAAAAAAAACCTTTTAGGAGATATTAATCTTAATTTTTCGATAATTTGCTTGCAGAGAAGAACTGTTTCTGTGAGCGGCTGTTGCGTTGTTTTCGATTTTCCTCATCTCTTCCTTTTAACAAGCATCCCACCTACCTGTGCACATTTCCCGCTCAATTTTCTTCCCCCCCTCCCATACCGAGAGATTTCTTTGGTGATGTGTTTTAGTTTACTTTAAATGATGACTTGAGGTGAATTAAGCAGACATAAGCAGGGGTAGGATGATTGGTGGCGGTTGGCTTCAAACGAGACAAGCCAACCAACCAACCAACCAACCAACCAACCAACCATCAGAATGGAGAATAGGGGAAGAAGCAGAATGTTGGCGATTCGATCATCAGAAGCCGGCTGTTGAAGCCTTCGAACAACGCAACGAACGGGTGAGTGATTTATGTAATCTTGGATCGAATTATGCTTATTGATCAAACTGATGGTGATGATGATGATGATGAAGTTGTTTCGATTTTTCAGCGATTTCAGATTGCTTGCGGAGAAAAGTGGATAACCAGGAACACATGGGCGGTATACGTAAAAGGAATGGCTGATGGAAGTGGAAAGGATGCTGGCGAAAAGAATGAAATATTGAATTAATTATCACTTCAACGTCTACAATATGGCGGACCTCTTGTATCGTACTAACTCCGTTGCTACTTATTATCATTGAATGTGTGTTTGATAAACTAATGGGTACTGTTTTTGTTTACTGTACTCCTTTGTTTTATTAAAGAGTGTAATTTTCCAAATTTGAATATAAAGATAATTAAATCTTCGGAAAACTGGTTTCTCGCGAATGACGTCACACATAAGATCGTCTGTCTGGGTCGGTGCCGTGGATTGGTCTGGTAAGTACAATTATAGTTCGGAACACAGATATGGAGTGCTGGACTTCTACTGCTTCTTTACCTGGGCACAGTAAGGAATAACACTGTCTAATTTTACTGGGAAAGTTTATTTAGCTCGGAACACTTATCTTCTGGTCAAGTATGCTTCACTTAACCGTTGCACATCTACCAAGTGTGCTTCAGAATCGATGTAATCGACGATGTTGGATTCCACAGGTTTATCTGCTTCTATAAGAATCGTTAAAAACATACCTCTTTATACCAGCAACAGAACCGAATCGATGTCATTACCATAGAAACTGCAAATTTTTTACTTATTGGTGTCGTCACCCAGCATAAATTGTTCAACTTTCAATAAAAACGAAAAAGATTGCGTATCGAAGTGAGAGCTAAACGATTAGGTGTAGAAATCCTTAAACAAAAATAAAACTGTTCTTTTCTTCACCACGCAAGTTCAGCAAATTAATGAAGTTACTAGAGCCATCATGATGACCCCGTATAGCGAGACCTTGCGTAGCCAAGCATAGAATGAAAAATATATCTTCAGGCAGGCATAATCGAGTGCACATGTTAACTAAAATTTTTAAAGAATGCATCTTCAAAACGGAAGGTGGAAGCAGCACTACGATGAACATCTGAACGGCGCAGAAGCAGAGGACCAAGGCGGCAGGAGGAATGGCTTCGTCGGTACAGCGGATGAGGGGGACATGCCAGCTCCCACGATAGGTGAAGTTAAGGATGCCATCCGACAGCTTAAGAACAACAAAGCAGCTGGGAAAGATGGTATCGGAGCGGAACTTATCAAAATGGGCTCGGATAAGTTGGCCACTTGTCTGCACCGACGGATAGTCAGGAACTGGGATACAGAACAGCTAGCGGAGGAGTGGAAAGAGGGAGTAAATGCCCAGTATATAGAAAAGGCGAAAAACTAGAATGTGAGAACTATCGAGCAATCACTATTCTTAACGCGGTCTACAAAGTGCTTTCCCAGATCATCTTTCGTCGTTTATCGCCGCTAGCAAGCAGATTTGTGGTTAGTTATCTAGCCGGTTTTGTGGACGGGCGATCGACAACGGACCAAATCTTTACGTTGCGGCAGATCCTCCAAAAGTGTCGTGAATATCAATTCCCTACGCACCACCTATTCATCGATTTCAAGGCCGCCTATTATACTATTGACCGTGAAGAGCTATGGAAGATTATGGACGAGAACAGTTTTCCCGGTAAGCTGACCAGACTGATCAGGGCTACGATGGATGGTGTACACGACCCGTTTGAAACACGTAAATGACTTCGACAAGGCGATGGCCTTTCCTGTCTCCTGTTTAACATTGCACCAGAAGGTGTTATGAAACGTGCGAGCTTTAACAAGCAGGCACGATCTTCAATAAATCCAGCCAGTTAATCTGCTTCGCTAACGACTTGGACATTGTCAGAAGAACGTTTCAGGCCGTGGCGGACCAGTACACCAGGCAGAAACGTAAAGCAGAGAAGGTTGGATTAATGGTGAATACGTCGAAGACAAAGTATCTGTTAGCTTTAGGAACCGAGCGGGATAGGGCTCGCATAGGCAGAAGCGTGACAATCGACGGGGATGATGTCGAGGTGGTGGATGAATTTGTGTACCTCGGATCATTGGTGACGTCGGACAACAACTGCAGCAGCCACAGCGGACTCCACAAGACCCTGAGGTCGGGTAAACTTCATCTCCGTTCTAAATGTACCATGTACAAGACGCTGATAAGACCGGTAGTTCTCTACGGGCACGAGACGTGGACGATGCGCGAGGAGGACCTGCAAGCACTGGGTGTTTTCGAACGACCATCTTTGGCGGGGTGTGTGAGAACGGTGTATGGAGGAGAAGGATGAACCACGAGCTGGTGCAACTCTATGGCGAACCCTGTATCCAGAAAGTTGCAAAAGCTGGACGGGTACGATGAGCGGGACACGTTGTAAGAATGCCGGACAACAATCCCACAAAAATGGTGTTTGCCTTGAATCCGGCCGGTACAAGACGACGAGGAGCACAGCGAGCAAGGTGGTTAGACCAAGTGGAGCAGGATTTTAGAAGTGTGGGACGGTCAAGAAATTAGAGACAAGAAGCCACGGACCGATTGAATTGGCGTAACATTGTGATGTAGGGTAACCAACTGATTTTGGACCCCTAGAGGAAGTGAGATCACGTTTATGTCAAAATAATTTTATTTGTTTATTATTATTATGCAATTTACATGCGGTTGTGTTTGAAAGCTACTCATCTTGGATGTAAAATGTCACTAGATGTTTTATTTATTGATATATACTCGAAAAATAATTCTTTTCACATCATGATATTCACATATTTTGGACCCTTCCACTTGATTTTGGACAGTGTCCATAATATATTTTGGACACACTGAATGGGAATGAATATAATTTGGACATGCTGAAGTTCTTTCAACCTATGAGCCTAAAATTAATTACGACGGTCACTTCTTCCTATCTCGCATTTGTTAGGTCCGTCTAGGTGGGAAAATTTTCAAAGAAGGTGCCGTAAAACGGGGTGAAACTGATCAGCGGGGTGAATTTGATCGCTGAGTATACCCAATATTGTACTTATGCATAATATTTTTACAATGTATACAAATATACATTCGTACGCTTAGTAACGAAAAACATGTTACACATGAAAAAATATCACGAGAAATTTCAGCGATCAATTTTGCCGCGCTGATCAATTACACCCCGTTTTACGGTATGCATAAAAGTTAACCCCCCGTTACTCGCGCTGTTGTACTTTGTACAACACATATGAGTTTTCCATTGCCATTTTGTTGCTGCCAATCGATCTGAAACCAACTTGTATTCCTCAAAAAACTTGTTTTGAACTAAAAAAGCTAAACTTTGATTACAATTAACCCCCAAAATGCGGATAATAGAGAAAATTTAAATGGAAACCGCCTAAACGGTGTCCATACTACGTGGGATTGACTTAATTGGTTACAACATGTTACTGTCTTCGGCAAAGTTGTTCAGGAGGTCAAAGCCTATTTCTTAGTGTACAATAGTTCAGAATTATCTCACTTCGTGGTGCTAGTATACATGTGAAATTCTCGTGTATAAAATATCTCTAGATCCTGACCAGATAGAAAGTAAATGCCTTGAGCAAAGTTGTTCGGGAAGTCAAGCTCTTTTCGTTGGTGGTGTAGTTCAGAAATTGCACACTACGAGGCGCTAGTATATACGTGTAATTCTCGCATATACAATAGCTCGAGTTCTTGACCAGCTAGAAAGTTACTGTATTGGGCAAACTTGTTCAGGGGGTCAAGACTTTTCGACTGGTAGACAGTAGTTCAGAATTTTCTCACCACGTGGCGTTTGTATACATATACACTTCTCGCATATGATATATCTCGAGATCCTGACCAAATAGAAAGTTACTGTCTTTGAAAAAGTTGTTCAGGAGTTCAAAGCCTATTGCTTGGTGTAGAATAGTTCAGAATTTTCTCACTATGTAGTTTTAGTATACACGTTAAATTCTCTCATATAAAATATCTAGAGAGCATGACAAGATAGAATGTTACTGTCTTGGGCAAATGAAGGAACCCTCGCGTTCCTTCCCAGGAGGGCAACTGGCCCGAACACCTAGACTTGGCTTTACTCGGATAGCCACGACGTGGTTGGATTGGACTAGCCCGCTTGGCTAGCAACAAACTTTGCAATTAACTCGCTGAGCCTTGAAAAAGGCTGAAAGTTCTAAAACTCTTTTTGTGTTATGATGTAGAGTGTTGGATTGGACGTTCGGAGATCGGATGCAAAGCGCGGGAGAAGTTCACTTTTCACACGGATTTATTTTTCTTCTCTACATATTTTAACTTAAATTTCTCTTTTCCACTGCTTAAAATTATACTCAGATGCTCTCTGTTGTGCTCTCTGGATGGGCTCCTCGCTTGGTGCGACACGGTCGACGGTTGAATGAAAAGTTGCGTCCTCTCACAGTTGTACCCTTGCTTTTATGCTCACATTCTCGCTCACTTTGCAAAAGGGGCGGGCGTTCTCTCACAGTTGTACCCCTGCTATTATGCTCCCAGTCTCGCTCACTTTGCAAAAGGGGCGGGCGTTAGTAATATATTTCCTGCTCACTGCTAGACACTGCTTCTTCTTCAGTTCGGCTGTTGGTGAACTGAACATACTCCCCCAGGCAAAAAGTGGAAGTAAGGTCATTATCGGCTATAGGTAAAGGTGCAAGTTTATGTATAGGTCGTTTGAATGTACCTGTCTTTGTTTTGACATCTACCACTCTTACTAAATTGTCCGCTCCAGGATAGACATTCACCACTCTTCCCAGTCTCCAACATTGAGGGGGAAGATTATCTTCTTTTAGCACAACGATAATTCCAGGTTGAACGTTCGCCTTTTGCTTCATCCACTTTCCTCTCACTTGCATTTCGGTGACATACTCTCGCGACCAGCGCTTCCAGAAGTGCTCGCGTAACTTTTGAATGTGCTGCCAGTGAGATAAGCGGTTTGTCGGTATATCCAAGACTGATGGTTCGGGAACTGCCAAAAGCGGACGGTTGATAATAAAATGACCAGGAGTCAGTACTTCAGGTTCCGCCGGGTCACTTGATAGGGAATACAAAGGTCTCGAATTAAAGATAGCTTCAATCTGGCATAACAGGGTGGAAAGTTCGAAAAGCGTTAGTGATGTAGTTTGGTATACCTTCTTCAGTACTGCCTTCACGCTCTTTACTCCAGCCTCCCAAAGACCACCGAAATGTGGTGCATTTGGTGGGATCGTATTCCAGTCGATCTGCTTTGCCTGACAATACTCAAAAATCTTATTTTGGGTAGTTTCCTCCTTGAAGAATCGATACAGATCCCGCAGCGCAGACCTGGCTCCGATGAAATTCGTTCCATTATCGCTGAACACTTTTTCCGGAAATCCTCGTCTGGACACAAAGCGCTGAAATGCAGCCAGAAACGAATCAGCAGACAAATCTTCCACAGCTTCCAAATGTATGGCCTTCGTTACCATACATATAAAAACGCATATGTAGCCCTTCACTGGAGTAGCCTTCCGCACTGACTGCTTGACATAAATCGGGCCCGCAAAATCAAGTCCGACTCTCTCGAAGGCTTTGGCCGGGGAAATGCGGTAGAACGGTAAATCTCCCATCTGTTGATCAATTGTAGTAGGTTTTGCCCTAAAGCAAGTGACATAGCCTCGTAACACCTTTCTGATTGTAGATCACGCATTAATCAACCAGAACTGTTGTCTCATAGCATATTGAACGCTGCTGCATCCGGCATGTAGGCTTTCTCGGTGGATATCAGCAATTAAACCACGAACTACGGGACTTTTGTCAGGTAATATCAGCTGATGTTTCACTTCAAATGGTAGTTGGGACTGGCTGATTCGACCGCCTACCCTCAGCAAATCATTGTCTAGAAACGGTCTCAAGTTGTTTAGACGGTGATTGGATTCTCCCGACCTAATACACTCGATTTCTTTGGCAAACTCCTGGTGCTGAACAGCTCCTACGATCAAATTCGATGCCGTTCGAAGCTCCGATATGGTGAGGTGCGGAGATAGCAGCCGATCTTCCTTCTTCTTTCTAGCGTTTTTTATGAAGCGTAACAGGTATGCCACGATTCGTTGAGACTTTCTAAATGAATTAAACTTCGTCAACAATGGAAACTCGTCGTAGTTCATCACCGGTAATGCGGACAATTGATTTCTTAGCTCAGGAATTTCGCACTCATTCAGCGTAGCTATCTTCTCTTCCATGTAGTCGACGGTGCGTAAAAAGTGTGGTCCATTCCACCAAACATTGTTTCCAGCTAACTCCTTGGCAGATTGTCCTCGTGACACAGTATCCGCTGGATTCTGGTCAGTGCGAACGTATTTCCAAACAAAATGGCTGTTGGACGTAATCTCGGCAACTCTGTGTTGAACAAATACCTGTAGGCTGGTAAGTGGTCTGCGTAGCCATGCCAGTACAACCTGACTATCGGACCAGAGGATTGTTGACTTGAAGTTCATCTCTAAAGCTTCTTCAACCTTAGTAACTAGTCTCGTTAGAAGAAGAGCTGCAAGTAACTCCTTTCTCGGAATAGTCAATGGCGTGATAGGTGCAATTTTAGACTTCGCACTGACCAATCTCATTGATGCTCTGCCATTTGACAAGATTGACCTGACATACACGCAAGCACCGTAGGCCTTTTGCGAGGCATCCGCAAACCCATGTAGCTCGTAGTAGACCGCTCCGCTTGATAGCACTTGACGTGGGATGCGAATTTGCTCAGAAGTCGGCAACGATGTCAAAAAGTTCTCCCACTGTTCCATGAGGCTCTCGTCCAACGGATCGTCCCATTTCAGCTTGCTGATCCACACATTTTGCATTAGGATTTTAGCTACTACCACCACCGGAGAAATGAGACCGAGGGGATCAAAAATCTTGGCGATTTCAGATAAAACTTGTCTCTTTGTGGGTCTGGAGATTCTATTTGGAGACTGTGATCGAAACAAAAATTCGTCAGTTGATGGATTCCACATCAATTCCAATGTCTTGATGACCTCGTTGATTCCACTATCGCCTATTGAAACATATTGATCTTTGTCTTCACTAGGAATGGAGGACAGAAGCCTTTCATCGTTGGATGACCACTTATGGAGATGCATTCCACCGGACTGCAGTAAAGTTTTCAACTGGTCTCGAAGTTCACACGCCTCTTGAAAGTCATCGGAACCAAAAAGTGCATCGTCTATGTAGAAGTTCTTTTCTACTAGTACTGAGGCGAGAGGGAACTTGTCTCGTTCATCCCGTGCTAATTGAAGAAGGGCCCGCGTTGCCAAGAATGGGGCCGCCGTCGTACCATATGTCACTGTCGTCAGCTCAAGAACACGCAATGGGTCCTGAGGTGACTTCCGCCAAAAAAATACGCTGAAATGCAGTGAAGATGAGGTCCATCAAGATCTGACGAAACATTTTTGCTACATCTGCACTCAAAACGTATCGGAACTTTCGAAAACGGAGAATTATTGACAGCAAATCGCTCTGTACGGTGGATCCTGTCATCATGACGTCGTTTAGGGACAACCCGGAGACCTTTGCCGACGCATCAAAAACGACTCGACATTTTGTCGTCGTGTTCGAAGGGCGCAGAACTGCGTGGTGGGGAAGGTACCATGTCTGCAATCCAGGTGGGTCGTCGCATTCCTTCACCTCCCGACAGTGTCCGAGCTCCTCGTATTCGTCCAGAAAGGCATCATACTGGGCTTTCAAATCTGGATGGTGCTGTAGCTTTGATTCGAGCATGTAAAATCTGCGCAGGGCCATGGAACGAGAATTTGATAGCTGCGAAGCGATGTCCTTCAATGGAAGTTGTACGATGTAACGACCACTATCATCTCGGCGATAGGTTGCAGCAAAATGTGCCTCACATTGCTCCTCCTCGCATGATGGAACAGTCTCTGGTGACACGCTTTCCACCTCCCAAAACTTCTGCATAAGCTCCTCCACTGGATCCACACGAACTGCGCATGAATGTATCGCAAGATTGGAAGAGGAATCCTGGAACAGCTTTCCACCCACCAACCATCCCAGTTGGGAATCGCGAAGTCTAGGGAGATTGTCATTGATTTTCAAACACCCTGGTTTCATGAGATCGTAAAACCAGTCCATTCCAATAAGCAAATCAACTTGGCTAGGCTCATGGAAGGATGGGTCGGCCAGTTTTAGACCTGGAGGAAGTTCCCAATTTTCCAAATTTATCTTAACCGACGGAACGTGACCCGTGATTTTTGGCGAAACCAAACAATTCAAAGCGAAGGAGAAATCATTGCATCTAGAGTGGACGTTTACGGTACATTTTTGTCTAACTGTTGACCTTACACCACCTATGCCTGTTATCGGAATGCCTACTACTTCCACATGAATACCAAGAGTGGTAACAAATGATTGGGAGATAAAACTCACCTGGGATCCACAGTCTAGCAGGGCTTTGCACACACGAGGGCGTTGCCGTTGGTCAGAAACATCGACAAGGGCAGTGAGCAACACCACCTGACTCGCTGGATTGATCGGGTTGTTGGAGTGTGCTGCAGTTACCGTCGGCTGACTTGTAGGTTTCGCGCTGGATTCTGCTGCCTCGTTTGGAACATGAACTGAAATAGCAGGATTCAACTTCACTTCGCTACCTTCATCTGAAGACTTCGGTGGACTGGCACGGCTCTCAAAATGAAGCAATGTGTGGTGTCTTTTGTTGCATCTGGAGCACGACTTCTTCGATGGACAGTTCTTCACGCTGTGTCCCCGCCTCAAGCAGTTGAAGCAGACACCTTGTTCCTTGATCTTGGAAAGTCGGTCACTTACAGTAAGACTGTTGAATGACGAACACTTGAATATCGGATGGGTTTCTCCGCACATGTTACATCGTTGATCCGTGGTTGCAGCGTTGGCTCTTGGAGTGGCCTGTTTTCCTGTAGGTGGCTTTACAGTTGTTCGCTGTGATCTAGATTCCTCGCCAAAACTGTGACATCTCTCCAAAACTGAGACTCGATCCTTCAAAAACTGGATTGTATTCTCGTAAGTGGGAAGCTCACCTCTTCGTATTGTAGACTCCCACAGTTTCTTCGTTGTAGTATCCAGGACTCGGGCGATCAAGTGCACGACGATAGGTTCCGAAATTCCAGTGAATTCTTGGTTAAGGAATTTAAGATTCTCCACATGACCACTGATTGTCTCGACCAGCGCTCTCAGCTCAGAAAAATCCACCTTCGACAATTTTGTCACTCCTAGTAAGCCGGCGATATGTATATCGATCATGCGCCGCTTATCCTCGAACCGTTCATTCAGCAGTTGCCAGGCATGGTCGTAATTTCCATCGCTGATTGTCTTGACGTCTATTAGTCCTGCAGCGTCACCAACGAGAGCCTTCTCGAGGTGATATAACTTGATCCTTGGTGCTTCGTTGGTGCGATCCACAGCGTCCCGGAACATTATCTTGAACTTTTTCCAGCTCTCGTATCTCCCGTCAAACGTGGGAATGGCACGAGGTAGGGACTGCTGGATAACAATGGGTTGCTGATTCACGGCCAATGGGATGGCTTGTTGCTCCTGAACTCGTGGAGGTGCGGTAAGGTTCCCGAGCCAAGTTTCGAGAATGGTCGACACCTGCTCGTGCAAAGTTTCGAAATTCAGGAACTTCACGTCTTGTTCTTCTCGCTTGTTCAGTGGTACACTCGCCATTATTTGCTGGTGATATTGGTGATACTCGGTGTAGGAAGTTTCTACCTTCTTTATGTAGACCTTTACTTGAGCAGGTGTGAGCTCAGTTCGGTCCACATCAGCTTCATTCAAGATGTTTTTGATGCGCGTCACATTGCCTTGCGCCATGCCTCGCATATGGATCAGCATGCTCAATTCCGCTTCTGATTCTTCACTGCCATTTTTTGACAACTTCTGTGGTATTCTTTTTGTTGACATTTTCACACTTCACTATTATGTTAGGTTCGTCACTTATTTCACTCAATATTGTTCAGTTCGCAGTTTTAACAGCGGTTTTTACAGTTTTTGTACTTTCACTCAGTTCTTTCTATCTTCTCCGTGCTTACTCCGATCCCGAACCATCCATTCCGCATCCAGATACTCCAAACGTTGAAGATCCGGCTCGAAGGACCAAATATGTTCGAGCTACGGTGGACTGTACTGCACTGGTCGGTTGACGGTACTCGCGTTCCCTTCGGGAACCGAGCCGGGGGAGCAGGAACCCTCGCGTTCCTTCCCAGGAGGGCAACTGGCCCGAACACCTAGACTTGGCTTTACTCGGATAGCCACGACGTGGTTGGATTGGACTAGCCCGCTTGGCTAGCAACAACCTTTGCAATTAACTCGCTGAGTCTTAAAAAAGGCTGAAAGTTCTAAAACTCTTTTTGTGTTATGATGTGGAGTGTTGGATTGGACGTTCGGAGATCGGATGCAAAGCGCGGGAGAAGTTCACTTTTCACACGGATTTATTTTTCTTCTCTACATATTTTAACTTAAATTTCTCTTTTCCACTGCTTAAAATTATACTCAGATGCTCTCTGTTGTGCTCTCTGGATGGGCTCCTCGCTTGGTGCGACACGGTCGACGGTTGAATGAAAAGTTGCGTCCTCTCACAGTTGTACCCTTGCTTTTATGCTCACATTCTCGCTCACTTTGCAAAAGGGGCGGGCGTTCTCTCACAGTTGTATCCCTGCTATTATGCTCCCAGTCTCGCTCACTTTGCAAAAGGGGCGGGCGTTAGTAATATATTTCCTGCTCACTGCTAGACACTGCTTCTTCTTCAGTTCGGCTGTTGGTGAACTGAACAACTCGTGTTACAAAAGTTGGCGCGAGTAACGGAGGAAATATAATATAACATAAGGAAACAACTGATGCTACCATAAAAAAAAATCATTCAGAAGTAAATCTTAATACGGAGACCTGACTCTATGCTTGCAGTCCATATTATTTTTTGTATGGGCTGTTCATAAACTACGTAGACGGTTTTTGAGAGATTTCAACCCCCCCCCTTCCGTAGAAGACAGTCTCAAACACAAAATTTAAAAAATTGTATGGACCGTAGACATCTGCCAAGCGCTCCCACCCCCCTAAAGCGTCTACGTAGTTTATGAACAGCCCCTTAGTTAAATGCGTTTGGGAGATAGGAAAACTTTTGTGGAAAACTAGGAAAACTCAGAGTGGACCACACTACGTGTTTTGCCGTTTTTCCCATTTTGAATCGCCTGATAAACAAGAAATATATTTAAAAACAATGAATTCATATAATTTTGATTGATTTACTTACCAATTTAATCATAAATCTGAGATAATAGCACGATCGACCAACCGGATTTTTTTTGTCGCACTTTGGATGATTTTCATTTGATAAGTGTCCAAAATAAGTTGGTAACATTTTTTTACGATCTTATTTGGACACTTTTTATTTAATACTTTTTAAGTAAAATCTTAAGGTGAAATCTTTATAAACACGTGAAATACATCTTCCAAAGTCAGATAAACTGATTTGATAAAAAAAATCATTGAATTGTATATTTTAGACCAAATTTAAAACAAGTTCACTAACGCCGATTCCTCTTGACAAACGTCGAAACATGAAACTTTTTCGATAAAATTTTCTAAAACTGCATAAATTGAGCAATTGTAAGCAATTTGAGGTGAACTAATGATCTTGAGACAGAGCAAGTAATTGAAAGAATGTAATTACAACATCAACCCAGATGAATTTGAAGAAACTAGACAGTAAGCGAGGAAAATATATGAAAAGGGTCCAAAATATGTAGGGGTCCAATTCAAGTTGGTTACCCTAGGTGCAATCCTGAGGGATGTCGGACCAGAATAAGTAAGTAAGTATCTTCGAAACGGCCTCCGTGTGGCAGATCGATTCCTCGAGTGTTTTAAATTCTTCAAGTCATTTCTTTCAATTGTTACACCCTGTTTCAATTAACACCAGATTTCTCTTACCAGAAAATTGAAGCAACTTTCACAAAAATTTCCCGGCAAGTGAAGCATAATACGACATCTTTCAAAGGATCGTAGAAAATCCATGGGAAAGTCCCTTTCGAACTAGGTATAACACACCGTTTGGAAGGTTTTGGACCTTCTCCAATATTCTATTCTGCACCAGCACTGACAATTCTCCCATTAATTTTAGCTTCCTCGATCTCTGCTTTCGCAGGAATTTTGCTCAAAAACTTATCTACCGCAGATGCTGAAATTTTAAACAAGAACAGTGCTTGTTATTTTTTTTTATAAGTAGAAAAACAATCATTAATTAAGATTATTGACCAGCTTCCCTTTGTTGGAAATAAAATTCAGCTGCTTACCGTGTATCGTTTTTTAAAATCAATTTGTTGAGAAATCTAAGTCTCATCTGGCTGATATAAATTTTTAGAATCAGAATGGAACCATCACTAAAAGCTTGCTTCGGTTTTGACAGATTAAAAATGAACAGATCTTCATTCATACACAAAGATCAGGACTGACAATGCGGATTCTTATATCCGTTGTTTCCATTACATTCGTATGTATCAGCAAGGGCAACGTAATGAATTGTATAGCCACGAGCCACGACCGAAGCGAAACACTCTTACTGGCAGACCTGCTTACCATTCATTCGCTTGGATGAATGAACGCTTTCTTTTTTTCTAGTTAGTTTATTTGTAAGGCTCAATTGTCCTCAATTATTTGTAAGGCTCAATTGAGCCAAAAGACTAAAAAACAAATATTTACGTGACTTTTGTTGATAGTGGAGCACCGTTTGATTTTGTTGTTGATACTGTCGCTTGTGCGAATGATTATCGAGATCCGTGTTGGCGATTATTTCTTCTTCGTTTTTCTTCCTCTAAAACCTCAATAACAGGTTCTTTTTCGGATTTTTTTTCATGCACTGAAAATGTATTTTCGTTATTTCTCTGCAAACCGTTTCGTAAAAATGAATATCGTACATAAAACACATCTGTCATAAATGGTACGAAACATTAGTTTTTCCTGTCATCTGGCGCAATGCTAATATTACGCCTTATTCGTATAATATACAAATTCAACTTCGTACAATCAAAACAACAACTGTACTCCTTGTCTCCTAAAGTGCTGATTGTTTGTTTGAGATGGTATACTTTTTTTCTTGAAATATTGTCGGTTTGACCAATACATGAAAGCTACCACAATAAATCAAATTACTAGTCACGGTGGTTTTATGTCAGAGAAAAAAAATACATGCAAGCAGCAGAATAAGCAAATGAAATCGAATTACCGTTCTATGAGTGCTTCTTATTTGCTTTTAATCTTACCATACAATTACTTACAATTCTGTTCACAATGTTCATAATTCGAGTCCGGTCTGTACCCTCTTTTATTTTTTTGTCATTTTTATTCCTTCCAATGATGAAGTTATTTTACCCATCCTCACTAACACACTCCACATTTTTCGGTCTCCACAACCAACACTTGTAGCCCGCTGGTTTGGTGTAGCGATAGCAAGTGTGGCAGTTCTAACGAAACTAGCTTCATACAATGTACAAATCAATTGCGTTGCAGAAAAAACGAATAAATTCGTAGAACAAACGAGCGATTTCGTTGTATAAATGAAATTTTATTTTCAGTGTGTGACGATGCAGCACCAACTACAATGGCATAAAAATTACTGCTGGATTCTTGTTGTTCGATTGTGTCCTTACCCCGACGCGCTTTTTTCATCGGGCAAGCTGCTTTTAGGAGGTCATCCGATTGGCATAAGTAGCAAGTCAATTTAATTTGCTCATAAAAGATCGATTGGCAAAACAAAGAATCGATGGGATATCCTTCTCGACGTCCATGTGAATTCTACGGGCACCAGTAAACAGATGACCTAACCCAAGATTTACTGGAAACTATTCGTGCTCTAATCGATTAGTTTTCCAAATTTCTCCAGCACTCGTGACAAATCTGTTACTTCTGGCGACAGATCCAACACACGCACGTATCGAATGTTGCCCCTGCAGCTGACATCGACACCTCCACTACTTTTCCACTGGAATAATGGAAAGTGTGCTTCGTTGGGTTTTGCACCAACGCTTTTTTCATTGCTGCTTCGTACTTGAATTTAATAAAGACGCTCCGCTCTTCAGATATCTTGTACGTTGTCTCCATATCCCTTTGGTCAGCAGCGAACGTCTTCACAAAACGGGCCATTTCCTCCGGGAAAATAAAAACAAAAGCTACGGTATTCGACACTATAATATCATTCGACATTCATTAGATTTTTTTCCCCTGTTCGGGACATAAAACCACTGCGAGCAGTTATTTGATCTATTGTAATAAATACCGTGTCCTTAGTTAAGTGCATGTCGTATTACTCCAGCACTATTGAGAAATGATGAAGTATTCGGGTTTGATACAGTTGTCATTCTTGCATTCATCGCAAGGAATCGATTCTAATTGAAAGGTCCCGCTATTTATACCCTTTGGAATGTTGAAACACCCTCCAAAGACGCACCCCTTTGTCAGTCAGAATCGGATTCCTTAGCAATAAAATTAAGGAATGATACCGATAATGACCATGCATCAGAACCCTAGTCTTAACCACTTCAAACTAGGGAACAACGAATAGAAGATTAGGAATCACATAGGTGAAGCTTAACTAACTCATTTTTTCCTTGTTTCAAGATCATGCTCGGTCCAGGCAACCCGAGGACTTATCACTATCAACAAGGCATAAAAAGTAACAAGGACTAAGATGTGTTCCTTTGATTACTGAAAAATCCTGTTCCCCTAGTTTGAAGTAGTCAAGACTAGGAATCGGTGGAAGATCTTACATCCCGTAACGTACCACGAAAAGGTGATCTACCCACGTTACGAGGCTTCTTTAGATT